GTCTGGCTTCACTGCTTACTGCCCATGTACCTTTAGCAAAAGCCACCTGGATCTCCGTTTCTTCATCCATAAAATAGGGACTACCATAGTACCCACTTCACAGGGCCATTGCGAGAGTTCATCTATCTCCAGGCTTAGATGGGTGTCTATGGGCACATTGTAAATATTTTTAATGAGTGAACTATTGTGAATTGTTACTGTGTTTACACCCATATGTTTATTTGTGTTGGAAAAATTTCTGAAGAGGAATTTATGACTAAAGAGCTTTTGATAATCCATTCCAGATTAAGGTCTAAAACAGACGTGGTAATCTGCTCTCCCATAGATGAGCATCAAAGTCCTGGTTTTCATGAAAAGAGAGAGGTTATCACCATCCCTGTAAATATCAGGCTCATCATTGTTGGTACCCTACTTCCTGACTGAGGGTGCACAGTTTTTTCCCAGTTTAATATCCCTGAAATCAGAACGCTTCTAACCATCAGAGTCTACTGGGTGGCTGCCATGACATGGGGTGAAAGCTTCTGTCGACAATGATTGAGATCAAGAAAGGCTGTCAGTGTGTCTTAACACCTGTAAATTCAAGTTTATTTGATAGGGAACAAAGCAAATATGTATAAAAAAAGATGAGTTTCATGGAAAATATATACTGATGTCTTTTTCAGAAAGCATCTCAGATTGGGTCTGGAAAAAAAATGTACCTGAGGGACAGAGAAGCTCTGGGCTGAGCTTGGAAGACTGGGGAGAACTGATGGAGGGAGAGGGCATCTCTCCATGTCTACTTATTTCTATACTTCCTTCTTTTGTTGTGCACAGGAAGATGATAGTGGCCATGATGCAATAGAAGAAGGCATTCATGGGCATTTGCTATTTCAAAGCCTTGTGACTGTTTTATGTATCATTCTCTCTGAATATAGTACCTCCTGCAGGTTCCCCCCTCCGCTTTCCATTTCCCCTCTTTCTATATACAAATCCTCCACCCTTTACCTAAATAGGGCACACTCTGTCTTTAGGTCTCAGCCTAGACATCATTTTAGCTGGAGAGCCTTTCATAATTCAGCAACACTGGTTAGGGGTCCTCCCTGTATTTTCTGTCATACTGTCCATACCCTTACCCTACTGCTTATCGCAGGGTATTTTATTGTCTAATAACTTAAGGCCTCTGCCGATGACCTATAAGCTTCTAGAAGCAGGCGTTCTACCATTCTCCTTTGAACTCTAAGCCTAGTACTATGGTTGGCACATGGCGGGCCCTTGAGAGATATAAATTGAATGAATTTCAGTACTCAGCCCATAGATGTAACCTGTGGTTCCTGGTGTCCCTGGAAGTTGTAGCTGTAAGGGTGAGCGCATTGTCTTGCGAGGATCCAATGCTCCAGTAGTTGTCACTGACGGTTGGAGCATGGACTCTATACTTCTGATATTACACAGTAGTTTAACCTTCCTTTTATTTCCATCGTCTTGTGAGAGCTTATTAGGGCACTCTATCTGTGCTGCCTGAGACCCTCATTAAGCTGCCCCCTGAAAGAGCTGCATGAATCTGGGTATACTGTGTCTAGAGCCCATTTCTAGCTGTTAACACATCTCAACAAGAAATGAAACCAGAAGGTGAAAATGAGTTCCTTATGAGCATTAGGGTTCTTTTCAGTTTCATCTGAAACAAAAGTTGGTTCCTATACCCTTTCCTATTAGAGTATTCCAGCTACTGCCATATTAATGTTAATTACTTTTTTTTTTTTAAGTTGTCAGTGACAGTAACCAACCCAGTCACTTTTTCTTCAGGAGTGAACCACTTGCCCCTTGAGATTAGAGTGAGGTATTAAGTAAAAGTTGTGAAATGATTTGACTTCAGAGTCTCCAAACTGTCTTTCCAATCACAGTACATGAATTCAGGATAACTGGTCAAATTTGGTGTTCAAAAGGAACAAATTCTGCCTCTAGTCTAGACGGTCAACATACCCTTGTGTTTGGAGAAATCAGGCTTTTGTGTGATAAGCTATAAAAATGGATGTGTTGCAGTAGTTAAATATGACAAAGAAGAAAGGAAAGGAAGTCCCAGTGATGCCTAAATTCAAGCCAGGCTTCCGTGTCCCACTTGTTCTACTTCCTGCTTATTTGTCTGTACACTTTTGTATGTGGATTTTTCCCTCAGCACAACTTATGTTGATGCCCAGTATTCACATTGTGAGGCCCATGTATCAGTGGCATGTTAGGGAAACACAGCCCCAAGGAGAGACGCTGTCACTTCAAAGCATGCCACAGTGCTTAGATAGAACCAGGAAATTAACCATGTCGGCATGATAATATTTCCTTAAAAGCCTGAAACGCTTTCTTTGATGCCAAGAGTTATCAATTTCTGCTATGAACTTGTTTCTGTCATGAGGAGGCGTCTTAAGGGTTTTTGGTTTTTTTGTCTTTTGCATTTATCTCACCCCCCAAAAATAGAAGTGGTCTCTGCCTGAATGCTCTTCTGAGAGAGAAATTGTTGAATGCAATGTGGAAATTTGGCACAGGAAGAAGAGAGACCAGTTCTGTCCCCTCAGTACCTTGACTTCTTCCTACCACTTTCCTGATGTTGTAAAACATATTCTATAAAATGTGTGTGCTCTAGCCCACCCTTATCCCAGTGTCACAGTGGGGAAAAAGAACTCTAATCCATCATGGTTGTTGCTTTCTAAATGCTTCTGACACAATCTGGATGTCCTTATCAAGGTAGTTTTATTAGCTAGGATTGTGTTTTGTGTTGATCAGTTAATCTTCCATGATACATTAAGAAAAAAATGAGTATTTCATTCAGTATCTGAGGTTCCCAGAAGTTGAGAGGAATATGAAAACTTTAGGGAGGGTTCAGCAAAGAAAACAAGTGAAATTGAACAGGCTTTTAAAAATTAAGTAAAAATATTGAGTGTTGGAGTATTTAGCCTGCAAAGAGCAGGGTCAAGAATGCAGTCACGTTTCAGGAATAAAATCACTTATAGTACAGACAACAGTGATGAACCACATCAGATATACCATGATGAGCACAGGAGAAAAAAGGATCAGATTCTAAGATAACGGATTTGGCTTACATGGAATGAAGATTTTCCTTACTCTTAGGCTTGATGAACCAGGGAACAAGTTACAAAGGACTATGTAACTTACTTGGGTGTACTTTAAAAACAGGAGAAATTCTTCTATACCTGGGTTACCTGAGGGCATTTAAAGAAGCATACAGTGTAAGTTTTTATTTTTAAAGAATAGATCCTAGACTGGAAGAGTTGTAATTGAAAAAAAATTCTTTGACCATATCCATAGGCAATAAAGAAGCAACTATATGAATAACAATTAGGCTTAAATCTCAAACTACTACCTAATCTTATTCTGTGAAAGAAGATTGTGAGTTCTTAGGTAATTGTTTTCTTCATCTGCTTTAGGTTCCATATAATCCTCTCATTGTTTTTAATTGTGTTAAAGTATGTTTATTAAAGTACTAATGAGAACAAAGCCATACTGATTAAAAACAAAATTATTCATTTAAACCTTTTGATATTATGAAATGGAAGGTAGGTTCTACTGTTGGAAGATGAATCCTGCATGTCTAATAAGTTGTTTGCTGTGTGCCTGGTTTTGTTTCTTTTTTCTTTTTTTTCAACAGTTTATCCTAGATCTGTTGAAGTTACTGAATTTTTATGACGTGAAACTGGTTTTTAAATCATAAAAGCAGTTTATCCTAAGAGCTCCAGGCAGAGTGCATCTTCCCTAGTGATTTTTATAGCATCTAATTAATAAATAAATATGCAGCTGGCTAGGCAATGAATATTAAGAGTTGGTTTTGCTTATCATCACCCTTTATAATTTTTAGAATGTTTGGGATTGAGGATTTTTCCTTTCCTGCTCCCCTCTTCCTGCTCATCAACTTGAATTACACCCACTCTTCCTTTTCTTTGGAACTATACTTTTAAATCTGTCTCTCCAGAGCTGTTTTCTGTTACTGTCTTACTGGTTTCGTATGCTTGTTGTCGGTTTTTTTGTTTGTTTGTTTTGTTTTGGGGGGAGAGAGAGTGCTTGAGTTCCTGCATGTGTGAGCCAGTTAGTGGGAGGGGTGAGGGGGAGCAGCGAGGGAGAGGGAGAGGAAGGGCAGAGCCCCACACAGGGCTGGATCTCACACCCCTGAAATCATGCCTAGTGTCGTTTTTTCTTTGCTGTCCATTTTCAGTTTCATGTTTGTCTTATTTTTTAAGGAAGTCAGTGAGTTTCGGGTTCGACTCACTTACTTTCCGTCTTTTCTGATTACCTCCCAATCCATGCATCTTTGACTGATACCTTGAAAGCAGATCAGCACTTTTGCTTTGGATTGCTCTGGCCTAGACCTATAGCAGGGTCCATCCGCTTCACAGTAGGTCAGCCTGTCGGACCCCTCTTGGTCTTCACCATCACTGCCCAGAGGCCAGATCCCTGAATCTCACTTACTTCCTGATCTGCTGCCATTCTTCTTGCCCTGTCCCCCTGCCTCTCATTGTGAGCTCCTTCCTGCCCCTTCCTCAGACTGTAGCCTCAGATTTTAAACAGTGTCTCTCACTGTTTAAAATCCTTTACGATCAATTCCTTATTCACCTTGCATTCAAGATGCAATCCAACTCCTCAGTGTGCATTAAAGCCTGTGCCTGAGCTGAACCTTCCCTTCTGGGGATCTGGCCTCCCTCTCCCCCTGCACTACTTACATCCTCCCATAGCCACATCAGACTCAACACTCCAGGGGCAGAAAACAGGCTAAGCAAAGGCATGAAGCTGGAAAATGTGGCCCTGCTTCAGCAATGGAATGACTGACAGTGGCCCATTTAGTGCTGATCACGTTTATGAGGCATTGTCCTGGGCTGGTGCAGAGCCCTGCTGTCCAGCTACGGAATGGTGATGACGGGATCATCAAGCCCTTCTTGTCAAGAGCAGAGGAAAGCTGGTTCTGAAGAGCTTGCCATTGCCCACATCCCTACTCTGATGTCCCCTATTGTTTCTCCCCCTTTCAGCCTGTGATGGTGATCACTGGGGACCCCACTGCAGCAGCCGATGCCAATGCAAAAATGGGGCTCTGTGCAACCCCATCACGGGGGCTTGCCACTGCGCCGCAGGCTTCCGGGGCTGGCGTTGCGAGGACCGCTGTGAGCAGGGCACCTACGGTAATGACTGTCACCAGAGATGCCAGTGTCAGAATGGAGCCACCTGCGACCACATCACGGGGGGATGCCGCTGTCCACCAGGCTACACTGGAGCCTTGTAAGTAACATGCTGCTGAGCAGCGGGCAACGTCCGCTCACCTTCTCCATTCATGTTGCTGCCCCCATCATATTCCTGTTCCTATTGCTGCCTGAAGTCACTGAAAGGCCGGGGCTCTGGGCACAGAGCGGGGAGATCAGCAGTGACAGCCCCGAGATGGGCCTGCTCTTTGGCTCTTGAACCTCAGACTCCAGCTGGAGTCTAAGGTCCAGCTTCCATGCTTTCCTTTGAGCAGGGCAGGGATAGAGAGGACCAGACTGTTGCATTGAGTGCTAATACTGGGGGGTTGTGGGGGCAGATTTGATGTTCTGCTTCAGTTGCCCCACAGTTGCATTTATTGTTAATGGTCCATGTTGTTCTGCTCTGTGTGGTGACTATTTAGCTGGATAAACCTGGGTGGGTTCAGTGCCATACAAAAAAGAAAAAAAGGAAGATGTTAGAGACAGTCCGTGGTAAAAGGTTAACTGGGTTATTTAATGACTGTGGATACATACGTTGCTTTGGGAAGGTAAAAGAAATGTATCACATCTGTGTAGGATATGTGCACGCAGATAGTTTAATTCTTTCTGGATACAACTGAAGCAACTTCTTAACCTCCACTACTTTATTTTGTGTGAAGGACATTGTTCAGTTGGCTTGTCTTAGCAAACAGAGTAAGAGGCAGAATTTGCCAAAAAAAAAAAAAAAAAAAAAAAGGAAATAGAAAAATCTTGTTCCCTTACTGAGAAAATTACACTTGTAAATCACAGAACTAAAACTTGAAAAAATGCGGCTGATTAAGTAAATACTTCCTGCCAACAGTATTAACAGCTATAAAGTAGAGCTAAAAAAAAAAAACTGCATTAGCCTAGAAAGCCCTCATTTTCAGAAGAATGAATGGTCATCTCAAACTACTTAATTGTTAATATTGCTTTTATGGGTTTTTATCAAGGCCACAATTGAATAGGGCTTTGGAAAACTTGGAGCAGTTTTACGGGAGCACAAACAAGACAATTAAAGGCTTAGAGAAGAAGGTTCATTCATAGGAAAAGGCTGGGGGCTAAGGGCATGGAAAATGATGAGCGTCAAGAAGAGAATGTTGAAAATTGTTTATGAAGAATATGTGTACAAAGCAGGGGATGTGCAAACGTTTCAGTCTCCTCTGAGGCTGGAACAAACCCACCAGCAAAAGCAGACTTCAGACGTAACACAGGAGCTTTATAATAGTTACATGGAAAATTCCTGTCACCAAGGAGTGTTTGGCTGAGAAGAATCATCCTTGGTGCTCTCAGATAGGACACATTCTCTTCAAATTGAAATAGTTTCATTAGAAAATACCCCAAAAGAAAGGAAAGATCTAGACCACCCCTCAAAGACCTTTCTTTTTTTTTTTTTTTTAAAGATTTTATTTATTTATTTGAGACAGAGAGAATGAGAGAGACAGAGCACATGAGAGGGGGGAGGGTCAGAGGGAGAAGCAGGCTCCCCACTGAGCAGGGAGCCCAATGTGGGACTCGATCCCGGGACTCCAGGATCATGACCTGAGCCGAAGGCAGTTGCTTAACCAACTGAGCCACCCAGGCGCCCGCTCAAAGACCTTTCTAGCCAATGTGACTAATGCTTTGATGTTAATGAAATCAAGAATGTTGAGCAGAGAAAGCTGTCTGTTTTAGGGCCCTGGGTGCTGTTGTGTCTGTGAACCTGAGGGTCGTGTGGCTGGGTAAATAACGATATCCTTTGTCACACATCAACTCCTCAGCTGTGAGGATCTTTGTCCCCCTGGCAAGCATGGTCCACAGTGCGAGCAGAGATGTCCCTGTCAAAATGGAGGAGTCTGTCATCACGTCACTGGAGAATGCTCTTGTCCTGCCGGCTGGCTGGTAAGCTCCCTTCCTCCCCTCCCAAAGTCACCTATTCCAGGATGCTCAAGTGAAAACACACTTGGAAGACTTTAGCACAAAGGAAAGTTACACTGATGGTTAAAGATTGCAAAATTGGAGGTGGCTGACCGTTTTCAAAGCTGGTGTCCTTCAGTCCATCTTCAGGCAGAAGGCAATTAAATCTTGACGTGCACTAAGGGTCCTCATGGAAAACATAGTGGCCATCTGTCCTGCACTTTCCCTCAGGAAAAAAAAAAAGGGAAATACCTCATCACATGTATGACAGACAATGCTGTCAAATACTGGAAGTTTCTAAATATAGGTGTACCTCGGAGATACTTTGGGTTTGGTTCCAGAGCTCTGCCATAAAGTGAATATCACAATAAAGTGAGTCAAATGAATTTTTTGGTTTCCTCCTACACATAAACGTTGTTTTATACTGTACTGTAGTCTATGAAGAGTATAATGACATTATGTCTAAAAAACCAGTGTACATACTAAAACAATTACAGTGTTAACATCAGAGATCACAACGAACATAGTAATAGTGAAGATGCTTTGCAAATATCACAAGGATTACCAAAATACGACTCAGATACATGAAAGGAATAAATGTTGTTAGAAAAATGGCACTACTGGACATGCTCAATGCAGGATTGTCACAGACCTTCAATTTATTTAAAAAACAATATATCTGTGAAACACAATAAAGCAAAGCAGAATAAAGTGAAATATGTCTATAATTATATTGTTTATATAATTAAGTTCCACAGATCACTATTGTTCTTTGAGAACATTATTCTCAACAGAATAAGTGTTGTGTGAAAATTATCTGGTCATGTACATCCAGAGACACATTGAGGTGAACCCATTTACCGAATATTGCAGAGCTTCTCAAAGCGTTTAGTGTGAAAATCCAAGAGGAGCTGTAACTCACCACATTTCCCAAACTTTGACCATGTCACACTTTCTTCATGTAGTATGTCACAGGCTTGGTGTTACGTGACACACTCAATGTCAAAGCTCGTTTGCTAACCAGATTTCTCCGAAACCTGGGACAAACCATTGGTTTGTACGTACATGTGCTTAAAGGCACAAAAGTGAATGACCAATGTCTGTTTCCTTCATTAACAAATAAAATTTAAGAGAGCAATTTACTTCACTATCACCTGCTATCTCCAGGAGCTGTAGTGAAGCTGAGTTTGTAGGATCATAACAGACTTCCTAATTACCAAATCCAGTAATGACCCTTCTGTTCTCATGCTGCTTGATTTCACCAAAGCATACGACCCCATTGCTCATCCACCTCCCTCTTTCATAATCTTTTTGTCCATGTCTCTGCTAACCCTCTACCTGTGTTACTGAAGATCTCTTTTCCTAACCCCCTTCTACATACTGCTTTATTACAGTATTTCCTAGGTTTCAGTCTTCTTGTTCTTCTCTTTTCTCACTATAAGTCCAGTCTGGAAATCTCACCCAGATCCATGGCTTTAATGGTCATCCTGTGATTTTTCTAAATCTTGGCCTTCCCTCACCTGAGCCCAGACATGTATTTGTCAATATCCTGTTAGACTCTCATCCTACATGACCTGTAGACATGAAGCCACCCTCTGATGGGGCTACACCCAAGCTGGAGCCTTAGGAGCCAGCTCTGGGATGGACTGGGTCTGCTAATGTCCTTGTTGTAGTCCTGAAGCAAAGGAGAACTGGAGTCCATTTCCCAGTGAGAATCATGGGAAGAAAGGGAGAACTCAAGATGTGAAGGCCACAGAGACAAGTAGAAAAGAAATATCAGACCCAAGGTGAGAGTTAGAAAGGTAAGCAGATGAGACAAGATCTGGCTCGAGAGGCAGAGCCTGGAGAAACTCCATGAAGCAATGGAGTCAGAGTGAGGGGGCCTTTTATTGAGTGCCTCATGAGGGGGTGAACAAGGGAGCTGTTGAGGAATGCAAGCCCATCAAAGTCAGTGTTAACAGAAGCAAACTTGTCATACACCCAAGCTTCTCTTAAGGTACTCCTTTTTGGATTTTTAAAAATCTTAGTTAAAACCAGCATTTCTTTCTTAGTTGCTTGAAATAGTGAATTATCTTTGACTCCTTCTCTTCTTCATTTCTTGTGTGCAGCCTTTTGCCATGTTGGCCATTGTTTGGTCCTTGGCAAGGGAAGGATTTTGTTGGGGCATCAGAGTGTCCAGAGTATCCAGAGAGCTCCATGTTGTTTGGATGAAGAGCTGTAGGCATTCCACTCTTAGTACTGTTGTATAGACATTGTTGGTAGAGTTGCCTCATCTTGAGACTGAAGGTTTCTTCTTGATTGAGGTGGTTATGATGTAGGATAGTGGCAATCACAGGTTTGGATCATGAGTTCCAGCAACTGGGTGGAAGGATCCATCAGCCAAGTGGAGCCTCCCCTCCACCACTTTCTCTATACTCTGGGCCCCCTACCTTAACAGAAGTTTCTTATTGAATGCTTCAGGTCATTTCTCAATCTGCATAGCTTAGCTTCTAACTTATACTTCTTTCTACAGCATTCTATTTGTGCTATCTCTCTAGGTGCTTTTCAAAGATGAATATATATTCCTTTTATACATACACACACATGTATTTCAACTCATAAGAACAATGTCTTATTTAAAGCTATTTGCTCACATTAATCTTCATTCATAAACAATATTTCAACAGCATCTCTGAAGCTGATGTGGGACCATTATAAATGTGGCTAGAGTCAGTCCCGGAGAGAATACGAATTTTCCACCCGAACTCCTGCTTACCACAAATTGGCCCTTGGCATACTATTTTTTCAGGCATCTTGGTAGTTGTACTAGAATGGAGGGATTAGAGCTATTTTTGCATCTATTTCCCCCACCACATTGTGAACAAATTAAAGGTTGTGACCTTATCTTTGATTCTCAGAGCTTAGCTCTATATGCCTGACGCATAGATGATTTTCAGTGAGGCATTGATTTGAATCATCTCTCAAAGGCTTTTTAGGTTCCAAGAGTCTGTGGAAGAACTTTCCCTGTTTGTAGATAGCTAGAAACCACCAGAGGAGACTTAATTAGCACACCAACTGCCTTTGTGGGTAGCCAGGAGTTAGAGGAAATGTATTTTCTTATGCTATCCAGAATAAACATTTACAAAACCATCTGGTGTTCGCTAGCCTCCAATTTCAGAGTGCCCACAGTCTGCCTTTTTTTAGAGAGAAGGAGGACAAAGCAACAGCTTGCAACAGTTAAAAAAACAGTTTAAAAATCCCTGTTATTTGGGATATGTTGTTTGTGCTAACAATAACTCCAATAAACAGATGATAAACTACAAGCCCAAGTTATATAGCCAAGTGAAGTAGAAAATCATAGAGTATTTCATTGACTTATTGGTACTTATTCTTATAAACATAGGATTGGAATAAATATAATGACAGTGCCTGACAAGATGGGCAGCCTCTAGGGTGAGGAGACATGTCCAAGTTACTCTCTTGATTTTTCTTCCCAAGAAATAAGCTTTCCTATTGATCTTGGCCCAGCAATATTTGTTCAACCTGCTGAAAATAAAAGTGTTTTTCTTCTGAAATAAAATATCTAGGTTCATTCTTACAGGACTACTGTCTTACGTGATGTTACTGTTAATTCAGGTACACAAAATTTCCATCTCATGCTCCATTATGCCTTATAAGAAATAAAACCAATGATAATGTATATTTTCTTTAGAACATATGGTAAAGCATTTGGATATTCCATTTGCACCAGATGTTGCCATTTCTGTAATGGATGTTCAATAAGTATTGTTGGCTTATTGTACATGTAAGGACACACGGAAGAACACTTAGGAGGATTTATAAATTCCTCAGGTTACCATAATAATTTCATGTAACTTTATCTTAAACTTTAGTTTTTTGGTTTTTTTTTTAAAGATTTTATTTATTTGAGAGAGAGAGAGAATGAGAGAGAGCACAGGAGAGGGGGGAGGGTCAGAGGGAGAAGCAGACTCCCCGCCGAGCAGGGAGCCCGATGCGGGACTCGATCCAGGGACTCCAGGATCATGACCTGAGCCGAAGGCAGTCGCTTAACCAACTGAGCCACCCAGGCGCCCCTTAAACTTCAGTTTTTTAATATGGGTATTTCTTAAGATTATTCTGCCATCTTTGAACGTATCTTGAGATACAGGCTTTCCAAGTAAATAAGTCAATTTAAAATTTCTAACATTTTTAAGATGATGAACGGAGTGCATGTGTTCTAAGATCCCCTTCATCTAATGCTCTTGCAGCCCTGTTCCCCTATACCTTCCTCCCTTTCTGTGTCCTCTCTTCTTTCCCTCCTCCTTTGGCCCTTCCCTGGCTGGAGGCCCATGTAATTTTCCAAGTCTCTTTGAATGCAGGGCACAGTGTGTGGTCAGCCTTGCCCCGAGGGTCGCTTCGGAAAGAACTGTTCACAAGAATGTCAGTGCCATAATGGAGGGACGTGTGATGCTGCCACAGGCCAATGTCACTGCAGTCCCGGATACACAGGGGAACGGTAAGGGAGAGTCTCGTCTTTATCTGACTGCTTGTAATGGCATGAAAGGAAAGCTCGAAGAGCCCAGGGAACACCTTTGCTACCACATGTCTGTGAATATTCTGTAACATTCCAGAGGCATCTATAAAGTATCAGTGTGTTTCACAGGTTGTTTTCCAACTCAGTGTGTAGAAAGGGAGCCACAGACAGCAAGGGTGAATTGAAGATACACAGAAAGCCTTCAAAAAAATAAATAAAATATCAGCTATCCAGAATCCATGTCGAATATGTCAGGCTCAACAGTCCAGTGGTTGGACAGCCATTTCAAAGAGCAAAACTTTTTCTATTTTAAACATTTTTTGATAGATTTCAGAAGTGGATGTGTACCTGGTTACCTGGTTATCTTTAGCAAGTATGTGGGGCATGAAGTTACCGTCTTAGGATTCAGTAGTCTATTAAGAGCGCCGTGAATTGTGTAAGACTGTTGAATCACAGACCTGTACCTCTGAAACAAATAATACATTATATGTTTAAAAAAAAGAAGATAATAGGAAGGGTAAAATGAAGGGGGTGGGAATAGGAGGCGGAGACAAACCAGGAGAGACTATGGACTCTGAGAAACAAACGGAGGGTTCTAGAGGGGAGAGGGGTGGGGGGATGGGTTAGCCCGGTGATGGGTATTAAAGAGGGCACGTTCTGCATGGAGCACTGGGTGTTATATGCAAACAATGAATCATGGAACATTATATCAAAAACTAATGATGTACTATATGGTGACTAACATAACATAATAAAATTTAAAAAAGAAGAAGAAGATAGTAGGAAGGGTAAAATGAAGGGGGGGAAATTGGTGGGGGAGACGAACCATGAGAGACTATGGATTCTGAGAAACAAACTGAGGGTTCTAGAGGGGAGGGGGTGAGAGGATGGGTTAGCCTGGTGATGGGTATTAAAGAGGGCACGTTTGCATGGAGCACTGGGTGTTATATGCAAACAATGAATCATGGAACATTACATCTAAAACTAATGATGTAATGTGTGGTGATTAACATAACATAATAAAATTTTTTTTAAATTTTGGGCACCTGGGTGGCTCAGTTGGTTAAGCGACTGCCTTCAGCTCAGGTCATGATCCTGGAGTCCCAGGATCGAGTCCCACATTGGGCTCCCCGCTCTGCAGGGAGTCTGCTCCTCCCCCTGACCCTCCCCCCTCTCATGTGCTCTCTCTCTCATTCTATCTCAAATAAATAAATAAAAATCTTTAAAAAAAATTTTTTTTAATTAAAAAAAAAAAAGAGAAGAATATTAGTCATTTTCCCGTGCAGTAGTGACCAAAGAAGATCCGATGGGATTTCTAGGGCTCATTGGTCCCACATGAAATAAGAGCGAATGCATGGCTGTGCTCACGTGACTCTTCCACCCTCTGTCATTTTTCGTATTAGATAGTAAAGTGTTACCCCAGACGGCTTTGCTCACCTTACACCTTCTAATTTGCTCTTTCATTTCTTACATCCTGAAAGACCAGATAACCCAGCTTAGTGGCTGTGTGTGTAAAATTAAAGAGAAAAGACTGGAGAGGTAGGGGACTATACTGGCTCAAAACAAAGATTTGTGGAACCTATGTCCTTAGATACATCCTTATTGGTAATATTCAAATAATAATTCTACTCTCCTTTGGGGTTGTTATCAGGATTGAATACGTACATTAAAGCAGTTATAACAGTGTGGAAGCTTACAAACATTAATTCTTATTAGAGTTGAGTAATTTCCCTGAACTGTGTAAATACCAGCGATTATCAATTTTAGTGATGTCTAGGAACTGAATAAAAATTAGTTATCATTAATTTTTAGTGAGACCCATGACCTAAGAATTTCTTCAACCTTCCTCCCCATCCCAACTTAGGATTTCTTGTTAAATTGATTTCTCAGTCATTTGTATTTTTTGGAAAATCTCATTTCTGTTTCTAATTGGCTATTTCAGGATAAAGAAAAACTTGACTGTGAGTGTTTTTTATTTAGCCTCTCTACCAAAATTTTAGATTAATTCTAATGTTATTTTTAGCAAATACCAAAGTTATTTCATCATTTACAAAAAAAAAAGATATTGCCTATACTTTTCAATATTTGTAATGATCATCTCATTTCTTGAAATGATTGCATTAATTTAAGTCTTTAAATCAGTGCAGACAAATAGAGGTTAAAGCAGAAATTCTGTCTTGTTCTTAATTTTATTAAAAATGGTTTCAGTGTAGTTTCATGTTTGTTACTAGTTTTTAGTAAACTTCTTTGTGCTTAAGTGCTTTTTAAAATCCCTGTTGTTGTTTTTTTTAAAGATTTTATTTATTCACCTGACAGAGAGAGAGAGGGAACACAAGCAGGGGGAGTGGGAGAGGGAGAAGCAGGAACCCCGCAGAGCAGGGAGCCGATGCGGGGCTCGATCCCAGGACCCCGGGATCATGACCCAAGCCGAAGGCAGATGCTTAACGACTGAGCCACCCAGGCGCCCCTAAAATCCCTGTTTTTATTAGGAACTTCTGTTAGTAGTATCTGTTTAACTTCATTAAAAGGCATTTCATCTTTTGTTAATATAGTTATATATTTTACATTTAATTTTTTGGTGTTACAAATTATCAACACCCTTCAGAGCTTGGTTTTTGTAATATAGGGCTTCTCAGAAAGTTTTTGTGACCTACATCCTGGCTTATGGTTGTGTTTTGGATAGATGTTGTTAGATGAGTTCTGGACTTACTATTTTATTTAGAAAGATGGGTCGGGAAAGGAGAGGCATGGGACCAAGCAGAATCCCAAATAATAGCTTTGTCTAATATTTCAGGGCACTAAAAAATTAAATACAGTTGACCCTTGAAAAACTCAGGGGTTTGGGGCACTGACCCCCCATGTAGTCAAAAACCACAGGTAACTTTGTCTCCCCCAAAACTGTTTAGGAAGCCTTCCTGATAATATAGACAGTCAATTAGCACATATTTTGTATGTTATATGTATTATATACTGTATTCTTACAATAAAGTGAGCTGGAGAAAAGAAAATGTTAAGAGAATCATAAGGAAGACAAAATATATTCACAGTACCGCATGTATCAAAAAAAGTCTGCATGCAAGTGACGTTGTACAGTCCAAACCTGTGTTATTCGAGGATCAGATGTATAATTGTTTTTCTTGTCCTCTCACAGTTTAAGTCTCAAACTTGAGGCAACACAGAAAACAACAAACATGTAAGGCAAGCTTATACTTACCGGATTTAGAATGCAGGGAAGGAGAGTAACAGCTGATTTCCAGGTGAATTTCAGATTAAGGCAAGGAGGGCAAGGAGCCAGAGAAAGACACAGGGAAGTGAAGAGGAAACTTCTTCTTGAGTCGTTGTTCTGATAACTATTGTTTTGCCAGTGAACCGACGACATGATTTCTGTTTTCAATTATACCATCCCCATCTGGGTTCTAGACACACACAAACACACACACGCACACACTGACAACATGCACATTCATCACTACGATAGGGAAAAATGAGTAGCTATGGGGCAGTTTGTGGCAGGAGGTGTGGTGAAGGCAGCTTTGAGGGCCTGGGGTCTTGGCGTTTCCCTGTTTTGAGAAGTCAGCGGAACTCGATCCCTGAGGTTAGACCAGAGCACTGCTCCCTGAAGGAGCAGGTAGCACCCCAGGCAGCTACGAGCAAAGCATTCCCAGGCTGTGGGGACGGCCCTCCCAGCCAGAGTGAAGACAGGACAAACAAAACAGACACCTTGTAGGCAGGCAGAGCAGCTCATGGGATGCCCAAATAACAGTCTTGGGGGTTTGTGGAAAGGTTGAGAGGACATTGTGGTGGGGAAATGTAATGTGGCACGGTCAAGCAAGAGGGAAGAGAGGGTGGTTTCCAGAGCCTCACAGAAATTCCTCTGAAGGGGTTAACAGAGTGTTCTTCATGCTAATGGGTTGCCATGGAATTGCTCAGGCCTTTGGGGTCCAGGCACGTAACTGGTGCTCCCTAAGAGTGAGCTGGAGGGAGAGATCTGTGCCTCAGGCATGCTCCCTGTTAAGGCGAAGGCAGGACGGTCTGGCCATGCCTGTGTTCCATAGAACCTGCAAGTGAAAAAGGAATGAGGGTCAAAGGAGGTAAAGTCAGACCTGACAGACAGGAACTGGAGGGATGCAGCATTGGTCTCCAATGGGGGAACTTTCCTGAATCTAGGATTGTGGAAAAGTTGGCTATTTTCCAGTGCTTTTTCTGTTTCCCCCAGAGCAGCAGTTCCAGATGCTTGAAAGGCAGGCAGCAGATCCATCGAGCCCAGGTTTAATGAGGAATGTGATTCTTTCACACTAAATCATGGTTTGTTTGGCCCATTTATTCCAGGCACTGTGGGGAGGGACATGCTCAAAAGGACCAGGGAGAAAGGAGCTGCCACCCTTTGTATGCTAACTTCCTTCCCTTTCCATCCATTTGTAATAAGATACAACATAATAATCGAAATGTTATTAAAACAAGCCTGTGACCCTCAATGGTTTGGGAATTGGTGTCATATTTTATTATCTCTACTTAAAGCTTATCCATTTTTTTCTAATTCCAGAGCATTATTCAAAAACAAAAATAAAAAATAATAAAAACAAACAAACAAAAAAAATGTGTGTGTGCTCATATATATATATATATATATATATATTTCCACTGCGGCTGATATTTTTTGCTCTATCTTTAATAGCCTCTCTGCCTTCTCTCGTAAGAAAATCTATTACCTCGGGGCGCCTGGGTGGCTCAGTCGTTAAGCGTCTGCCTTCGGCTCAGGTCATGATCCCGGGGTCCTGGGATCGAGCCCCACATCGGGCTCCCTGCTCAGCGGGAAGCCTGCTTCTCCCTCTCCCACTCCCCCTGCTTGTGCTCTCTCTCTCACTATGTCTCTCTCTGTCAAATAAAAAAAAAAAAAAAAAAGAAAATCTATTACCTCTTTTACTAATTCCTAGGATAGCTTTTTTGTTGTTGTTCTGCCTGGGACCACATAAACAACATTAAGGGCTTAAAGTTCACTGAGAAATAATGCTCTTTTGGATAAAGGGGCCAAAAAGGGAGATAAGTCTGTTAGACAAAGACTTTTAACTCTGCTAACCTGAAAGGTATAAGCTACTTTACAATTACTGTTGTTGTTTTTTTTTAAGATTTTTTGCTTTTTATTTATTTGAGAGAGAGAGAGTTCATGTGCAAGAGAGAGAGCATGAGCTCGGGGTGGAGGGCAGAGGAAGAGAGAGGGAGAAGCAGACTCCCCGCTGAGCAGGGAGCCCAACGCAAGACTCGATCCCAGGACTCTGAGATCATGACCTGAGCGAAAGGCAGATGCTTAACCAACTGAGCCACCCAGGCACCCCTGCTTTTATTTTTGAGATGGAAAGAGTCTATTTCTAGAAAGATATCTTACCACCTCGGTTTGGTAGATGGAAGTAGACATCACTATTATTAACAGGATTTTCTTACATGTGCAACTCTGATGAAAAGGAAATGAGAATATGAATCAAGCTTTATGCACTGGCTACTTTATAAGGGAAATTCAAATGGCTTTTTGCCATTTATAATACAAACTAGTAGTATGTTTTATTATAGGTTCGAAAGGTAAATGTGGGTCAGGACCAGCTATTATGGATTTTGTTTTCCCAAAGAAAAGGAAGTCTCTGCCAAGACAGGATAAAATAGACACTCTGCTTGCCTGTCATTTGGCAGCAGACGTTTTTCCAGGCTTCCGATCTATACTCGGTTCACCCACTTTTAGAGCCAAGCTTTTTACTAAGTTGAAATCGTGGATCCCAAAGCTTAACAGTTGGGTTTGTTTTCAAATCCATACGAGAGAGAAAGCAATGTTATTTTACCTTGTTTATCGTTTCCTTTTTGGTACTGAATCACGAGAAGATCTGGACAGACAGGCTGCAAAGATCTTACCAGCCTTCAGCAGAGCCATGACCAGGCCCAATGATTATACCTCAGTATTTCTTTCTCTAAAGTTCACATCTTTAAGGAATAAACTAAGTGGCTTGGCTTATTTAGACTTCTTACAAGTTAAAAATAGAGTGCCTTTTAAAAATACTCTGGTCTAAAAATAGGTATACTCCTGTGTAATTTTAAAGCACACATCTGATTTTATACTAAATGGTAGGTGGCTACTACAGAACTTTGCTAATGGTTTGTTGAGCAGTTGACTTGAACATTTTGCCTATTGACAAACGCATGTAAAGATGTCTTAAGCATCGGGTGGAACCGAGTTTACAAGAAGCCCCTTCCCTTGTCTCTATCACATTAACTATATGCTAGAGCCAGGGTTAACCAGAGAAGAGTCAAAGGGATCTCAAGATTTAGCTTCTCCATTTAAATAGAATCCCATCCAAACTTGGTATTGTTACTAATCACACCCTATTATTAAAAATATGCAAAGCCTTGTGGAAAATGTTTGCTTTTTAGCCCCTTTGCTACTGCCTTTAGGTATCCTTGAATTCATTATTATGCACTTGCTGCTTGCATTATACTGAGCTGAAAAAAATGCAGTGCTGACCTACATTTCTGACCATGAGTCTGGCGTGACTCGAGAGCCACATGGAAAGTGTCTGCTGATTCCTACCCACAAATTGTATCGTACTTACGGCAGGCGCTCTGCTAGACGAGACCCTGTCTCCCTCTCCTTTGGCAGGAAGTGCTCCTTCTGTTGCAGGAGGCTCCGTGAAGTCACCTTGCCAGGTCAAAGAAACTTGGCTGGCCTGACAACTGGTCATGCATTCTATGGAGTGATGATAATTTTCTCTTCACCATCACGGTTCCTTCCAGCCGTTTAGCTGCACACCTGATCCAACTTATCCAGAGCCTGTCCTGGCTCCGGGACCAGACTCTAATGTCATTTTTTAAAAGATAACGTGAATTTTTGAGACCTGATATTTTTTCCTTGCCATTTGTCAGCCCTTCTTATAAACAGAGGACAGTATCCCCCTTAATAAAAATGCTGTGCTAGGAAACTCCACGTGTCCATACACCCCCTGACAAGAGTTCCCCAGGTGGAATCGAAGAAACCTGATTGCAATAGTTCTGACTTCTCAGATCTAAAGAGGACTTTGTTTATTAAATACATAACTTTCTAAATGAGGAGCAATTTTTGCCATTCAGCTTTGAAAAGAGCAGACACATGGCTGAGATTAAATATTCAAGTCACCATGAAAGCCAAGAGAATTAACATTGTTGGAAATTTGCTACGAAGTTTTCTCTTTGAAACAGGGAAAGCGTGTATTTTAATTTCCTCATTTGGGCCATCACTCTTCTCCCTTTTCTGGTATCTCCTGGTATCTTTCTGGTATGTATATACGAGCATGGATGTATACCCTTAGCAAGCAAAGCACTAGGTGTAAAACGTGCTTCCTGTGCCAGGTCCATAATTTTATTTGGTTTTGTTTTTGTTATTCCTTTGAACAGGTCATACTGCCATTACTATTGCCTGTAGCCAGAGTGATTCAGAGTACTGCTTTTATACCCGTCAATGGGACCATCACTAAGAAATACAGCCAATGCCAAAAACACTTCCAGTTTATACATCGCAAAGCCTATCCGAATGGACTGTGTATTTGTACATGACATTACCTAATCTATCTTCTGCTCCCGCTCCCTGCGTGGTAGGTGCCAGGACGAGTGTCGTGTTGGCACATACGGAGTTCGCTGTGCTGAGACCTGCCAGTGTGTCAACGGAGGGAAATGCTATCATGTGAGCGGCTCATGCCTCTGCGAAGCGGGTTTTGCTGGTGAGCACTGTGAGGCACGCCTGTGTCCAGAAGGGCTCTACGGCATCAGATGTGACAAGCGGTGTCCCTGCCACCTGGACAACACTCATAGGTGAGGGTTGGCCACCTTGGAAGGATGTGCCCTGTTAAAGTTTGAACGGCAGTGTCCACTGTTTGGAAGGACAGATTGCCAGACAGATGCCCGCCCTGAGAGCCTTCCTGCCTCTGGGCCGTCCTGGGGAGGAACCACCAAGTCCATGGACAACTTCTTTCTATTCTCGATGAATGGTCACTGCCAAACATTAAATTTGCTGGGGTTAGTAGAACATTGCCCTAAGAGAGGGATCTGTGGCATTCCCTTAGAAGCAAAGATACAATGAGAGACATGAGTTAAGCCCAGTTTAGTGTGTGAAAATATCACAAAAACAATTCTCACTGCAGCATCTTTGACCTAACAGCACATCTGTGTAGAAAGGAAGTGTACTGGTGGAAGTTTTATATAAGGGTTTCACATGTGGCTGTCACATGTGAAATATGTTTTCAAAATTGATTACTCTGACATAAAACTCACGGGGGTCTTTTAGCCCAAAAATCTCTCAAAGAATTTAAGAACAGGAAACCATGGTCCCTACCCACCCTACTGTACCTTGTCTGTCCCTGAAAATACCTTTCCACCCCCCCTCCTTCCTCTCTCTCCCCGAAGGACCAGATACATATCACTTAGAATTCTGGGCCCCATTTGCAGACTCCTGGAAAAGTTGGGTCTGGCAAAAATGTAGTGCATTGTGTCGCAGTTCACATGTTACAAGAATTACTTAATTGCATTCAGCACAGCTGTTAACTTCATTTATGCTTCTGAAAGATAACTTGTGGCCCCTTCAAATCCTCAAAAGCACAAAAGTTAAATGTAAGCAAAAGCCTGTGGTTGGTCTCTTCTTTAAGCCATCTTTAGGAACAAAAAAAAACGGACTTTGTACCATGAGAGGGTATGTGTGTGTGTGTGTCTTTGTGTGCATGCATGCATACTTGGAATACATTTTACCGGGATATATCAAAGAAGTGCATTCTTAACGTATCTCAAGCAACTTTGCAAAGCTGCTTTAATCAACTTTGGTTTTCTTCATTGGAAAATATTGTCACTCTTTACATGACAAGGTTAAGTAAACCTTTGGGGAGTGAAAATGAATCATCTCTGCAGGGTTTTGTTTGTTTTTCAACTCTCCGGCGTTTAAGGAGCTGGCAGGATTAGGAACAAGTCATGAGTTTGGCTACTTTTCCTGTGGTGTTTAAGGCCTGTCCCAGCAAAAGGTAAGCCTCGTGTAGTGACAGCCAAGAACTTTTTAATATCAGAGTGCTGTTTCATTGTATGCAGCTTCACAGCAAATAGATGAATAAACCTATGCAAAGGAGTTGTGTTACGAGAAGAATTGGAGACACAGAGAGAATCTTGGTTGGAATTATGGACCATGTTCATAGTGGCAAGGTCCCCGTGGACAGCTATTTGACTGGCATCAATACTATGATAATTTTGACGTAGGTCACATGTATGTAAGCACGTATGCTTTACCGAAGAAGTACGGGAAATTGACAATCACATAGATCAAAAGAACACTAAAATCTGTCTAATAATGTATAACAAACAATCAGATTAAAACCAATTGACCTAGGAAGTGCTTCCCTGAAAGTTCATTTTTAAAAAGTAGCTTTTGCAAATAAATAAATAAATAAAATTTAAAAATTAAAAAATAAAAATTAGCTTTGCAAATTTCTTTTAAAACCAGTTCAGTGTTGATGATATGACTCTGTCTTGTTGAATTCACAGTTGGAACCATCCACCTGATTATTTATTAGCAATTGGTTTTTTGCTTGACTAAGCTTGGTAGTTCTTCTGCTTTCCTCCCTGTATTCAGCTAGCAGATCAGCTAGAGGTAGATGGGTTCTAGAATTCCTCCCTCACTTGTCCAGCATCTGGCTGGTTGGTGGGTGCCTGAACCACATGCCTTTAGCAGCAAACACATTAGCCTGGGCTTCTTGTCATGATGACTGGCTTCCAAAAGCAGCAAGAAACGGAGAAAACGCCAACATGCAAACATGTTTCAAACCTTTGGTTATGTCGTGTTTGGTATTGTCCCTGTGGATGAAACAGGTCATGCAACCAACTACAGGTTCAAAACACTCCACCTCCTGGTAGGAGTTGCCAAGAATTTGTAGCCATTTTTACTTTTGCAATCTATCATGGGGTTGAAATTAATTTAAATATATTTAAAGGATATTCATGTATTCGATCATAGTGCTATTATAGAGCCTGAAGACATTCACCGTGACCTGTACTTTTCAGCCAAAAACTAACTTTTATGGTGGAAATGGTTTAGAGGAGCGAAATAAAATTCGAGATTTATTAAGATTCCACATGGGAGAGGTATATTAGCTCTTGTTAACAAGGACATTTAATAGCTGTGGGCAATCAGGATGTGCCTATTTACAAATGCCACGTAATTGTCATCACATTTGAGCATTAATAACACCTAAGGAAATGAATGAAAGGAAGTTCGATGACTCGTTCTATTTTAGCCAATATTGTATTGGACTCATAATGATTCAACTCTTAAATTGAAAAATTTACTAGAATGTTTATATCTAGTTGTATATGTGTATGAAGTGATAGGTATTCCTATGTGGGTATCACCCTATTTTCATATGCACAAAGCAACCTGTTCTTCAGAAAGAAAATGAGTAGGAGTGTGTTACCCTTCAGCCTCCAATCTGCTGCTTCTAATATCAACATGTAAATCTCATTACCAATTAAGCTGCCTGCATGAGATCCCATCAAATACCTCCAAAGTGCTCTGGCTTCCTATATGTAATTACAAATTGCAGAGCACTAATTTCGGTGTCAATCAATCTGAGAACCAGTGTGTTGCACTAATATTCACTGGGGGGCATTGAATATCAATTTCTGTGTCTGCCTATAGCTTAGTCAATTCCCTGTGCCCGGATTATCTATTTTGTCTAACATTTGTGTCTTCACCAGGAATATGATTTTCTACTTTTTAATGTAAAGTAATATATTCTACTAAAAGATGTCCTTTTTTAATAGCATGTCAAAGTAAGGCAAACTACTTTAACCAATCCACGCTTAAAATATTTCTTTTCCCTTTCTCAAATGCAGGACCTTTCTGAAGTAAATTTAAATTTGTCTCTGCTTTTGCACAATACAGGCTTTTACTGGTCCTGCTAACTGGTGCTAAATCCTACACTTTAGCCATTCTTTTTCATATCTAGCCCTCCTAGCAGGCTGCGACCAAGCGTCCTTTTTTCTTTGGTGTAAAAACAAACAAATAAATCTAGGTTCAGGTTTGATTCCTCTACTACCTGTGTTGGGCTTTGAATAAATTACTCTTTCTAGGTCGCTCTTGCCTGATTTATAAAGTGGCACGATCCCCAACACTTGGAATGGCTTGTGAGGATTAAATGAAATACTGCGCACGCGGATTCCTGAGCATGACATTAACACATATTCAGTGCTCGGTAAACGCAACCCGCTATGCGAGCCTGTGGGTTGACTTACGGTATCCCCAGAAACGTCACGTAAGAGAGTATTCCCTGCAATTCAGAGTGGTTCCCGTGCAGCCACAACTTTGACATTTTAAAAATGAATTCTAGGGCACAGCTTGCCTTTCCATGCAGATGTGCAGATTATCATTCAGCGCCGCTGGATGACTCAGCGATATGGGGCGAAGCAGGTCCATGTGGGAAAGCAGGACTTCAGAGTCAGATCCCTCTGTACCTTAAATGCCATTTTCCCTAACTCACTCACTCAGTGTTTGCTGTGCGTGCACTGTGGGCTGGGGACAGGTAACAAAACGTGCCGGATTCTTGCCTTCACGGAGCTCAAGGTCTAGAGGGGAAGGAAGACATGGGTAAAATGGAGAGGCCCAGAATGGGGAAGCAGTATTCCTGGTGTATGGAATAGCCCACGTGATGCCCTTATATTGGCAACACTCAGTGCTTTTCCCAACTAAAAGAAATCCATTGCAGTTGAGCATAGTAATAAAGAGAGACCAATGACTAGAGAAGGGGTTGGGAAGTAGGCAGTGGCCAGGTAACAATGGCCTGTGGACTGCATTTAGGGTGACTTTGTGTCTAGGGTCACAGGGACTGTTTGGATTAGGGACAGTGGTCCTAATAACTCCCTCTTCACTCTTGAAAATGTCCTGGTTTAGACAGTAGATAACACAGTCCCTGTAGCTGTATTAGACGGCACAGATTATATTCTCAGTGTAGTGGGGAGTTTTTGAAGAGCTTTAAGGAGAATGATAGGCTAGCATCTACTTTTTAGGTGACAAGGCATGAGTGAGTGCAGAGGTTGCAAGACGGAAGGCTATCCCGGTTTTCTGAGTTAGAGGGCCTTGACGTGGGGTAGCGTGGTGACGGTGAGGATGGAGAGATGGGGTGGAGGCAGGATATTTTGGAGGCAGGCTATGAGGTCCTAGCGAGGAAGTGGATATGGGAAATGAGGGAGGAGTTCCCGGGAATAACTCTGAAGTTTCTGGTTTAAACAGTTGAGTGCCTGGTGGTGCCAGTGCTCCAGCGGGGTGATTGAGAGTAACCACTGAAGAAGGAAGGCCGGGAAGAACTAAGACTCGGAATTTGACATGCCCAAGTTGGAGTTGAAGGTGCCGAGTGTTTGCTCAAGGAGAGGGAGCAGATGAGTAGATCTGAGTAGGTCTAAGGAGATCAGAGACTCAAACCCTTGCCTTTTAAATCCAAACCTTTTTTTTTTTATAAGATTTTATTTGAGAGCCTGAGAGTGAGCACAAGCATGGGGAAGGGCAGAGGGAGAGGGAGAGAGAGAAGCAGACTCCCCGCTGCAGGGAGCCCGACATGGGGCTCCATCCCAGGACCCCGGGGATCATGACCTGAGCCGATGGCAGACGCTTAACCGACTGAGCCACCCAGGAGCCCCTCAAATCCAAACCTTCTATACCCAAGAAACCATGTTAAATGTAGAGTGGTACTGGGTATGTCTTCATAGCGTGTTCCCTGAGTAATGCTTGTGACAGATGCCTAGGCGTTTGCTTGTGGGTGCTCAGTTGCAGTGGGGGCACAAACCGTGCCACCCACGGGGGTGTGGCTGAGACCCGCCTGTGACACACTAGGACGTCGGGCCGGAGAGGTTGTGTGCTTTCGCTAAGGTACCCAGGTGGTGGGAGAGCTGCTGTTCCATCTCAGCCTTCCCCTCTCCCAACAAATCCTTCTTTCCAAGAGTAGAAAATCCGTGGATTGTCTCTGGACCAGAGTCACTTAACACACGGCTGGGTGAGACAGTGGATTCTGTTGAGATGGCCGTAGTTACTGGGAGGGGTTTATCTCCACCAGGGGAGGAAGACGGTCTTTCACAGCCTTCTGACTGTGAACAGAGCTGGTTTGATCGTTGAGATGTCCCTGTGGTGAGAAGCACATGTGTTTTGCGTGCCACAGAGTGCCCTATTGGGTCAGGCTCCCTAGCGCGTGCCTCCGGGCGCAGCTGATGTGTCCATTTGCTCGGGAACGACAGCTGGCTGCCTGGCCGGGCCATGCAGCTGCTGCCTCAGGTAGAGACGGTTGCTCAGCTGCCAGGTATGGAGATTCGAGAACAGAAACAGGCAAGGAAAGTCTGCTGCTTTTGGAGTGCCTTGGACCTAACCCTGGCTAACTGATTTGGTGGTGTGCACCGGACTGAGTTGTTCTTTAAACCCTCTCGTCGAGGTGACCAGTCACTGAATTATAGTGCTTTCGACCTATGAAGACTATAATGAGTTTCAGTCAAAAGGAAGCGGTTGTGATCATCTTCCGGTTGGAGCATGATGCTGATTTCACGCCACATTTCTGTGGTACCTATCGGGTTTCCGCCAATTAATTAAATCATAGCAAGCCTGGGAACGAAGTTTAAATTATTGTGCATGGAATTAGCCACCCATTCATTGCTCATGGCTGAAGCAACATTTGCATGGGCCCTGGGTGTCATGTTCACCCGGGAGTGACTTTCTCCTTTTATCCGTGTCTCTCAGCTGTCACCCCATGTCTGGAGAGTGTGCCTGCAAGCCGGGCTGGTCAGGACTCTACTGCAATGAGACATGTTCTCCTGGATTCTTCGGGGAAGCTTGCCAACAGATCTGCAGCTGCCAAAACGGGGCTGACTGTGACAGTGTGACCGGGGAGTGCACCTGTGCCCCAGGATTCAAAGTGAGTGGCTCTGGAGGAAGGAGCCTCGGGGTACCGTGTGGAGCAATGACACCACGTACCATATAGGGCCCTTCCTGAAGTACAGGGAATGTGCTAAGATCTGTCACATCATTAACAAGAAAGAGACTGAAAAGTACTAATAAGAAACAGAAGGAATTACCTTAGAACGATAACTGGAAGGCTGGTAAAACAATAAATGTAGCGTTCATATTAATTATTTAATTAATCTGTGTCATGGAATATGATGTACTTTCATTATTCCTTACGTAATTACTTTTTCCCTACATAATCATTTTGCTACATTCTATAGGCAGCAAAGAAATTACTTTTCCAAGTAATTACTGTTAACAGTTTTTGTCTCAGCTCCACGCAGTTTGAAGGCACATCATGTATCAGGTTCGCACGTATTATATATTTACGTGCGATGGTTAGCAGTATGGAAGTTTTTCAGTGCCTTGGAGAACCTAGACCTTGCAAATATGCCCGTGCGCCAACTGAGCAGAATTTTGCCCAGTTTCCAGGATTTCTTAGCTATAGATTAGGAATCCTTGTTTTAAAGGAAAACAGATTGGTCTTGATTATTTTCTCTCTTTTGAAAGAGGACAGGATTAACCAAAGAAGATGTTGATGATTATTCCAGAGCATGTAATGTGGGATGAGTAGGTGATAAAGACTCAGAGTTGAGGGGATCTTTACAGGTTTTTCTAACCTATGTCAATATTCTTTGGTGGAGCCCTTGATTTACTCTGTCTTAAGTCTCTTCTGTTTTTATTTTTATTTATTTTTAAAGATTTTACTTATTTATTTGAGAGGGAGAGAGAGAGCATGAGCAGGGGGGAAGGGCAGAGAGAGAAGCCGACTCCCCGCTGATCAGGGACCCCAAGGCGGGTCGATCCCAGGACCCTGGGATCATGACCTGAGCCGAAGGCAGATGCTTAACCAACTGAGCCACCCAGATACCCCAAGTCTCTTCTGTTTTTAAAGGCGATGACCTCCAGCCATCCCTGATAGCCCACTTCTGTGTTTTAGGTTTATTGTCAGATAATAAATTGAATCATGCTTCAGGCGGAGTGTGCGTCCCGTTGCTTTGCTTCAGCCACCAATCATATTACATATTATACAAGGAAGGCTAAGAAGCATTGCAATTTAATGTATAGTTTATGTTTATTTATGTATTGACTGTAATTGATAGTTTATTGTTCTATATCTGCTTGTCTGAGCAAGGACAAAAGGTTTTTTTGTGTGTTTGCTAGGAAAGGAAGCTCATGAAGGCAGCAGGCTTTTTTGATTGCCATTTAATACTGAATCCTAAACAGGCAAGCTAACATTGCCCTTGAATCTTTAAAATTTGTCTACTGGGGGCATTTGGCAACTTTAAAAAATACAAGTGTTAAAATTAGAGAGGGAATATCATTAGCATTGCCAAGGTGCATTTTTGTTTGTTTGTGCTGGCTTTATTTCATTCAGTGAAATTGCACGCATTTTCCTATCTGTGCCCGTCTAGGGAATTGACTGCTCTATCCCGTGCCCGCTGGGAACCTATGGAATAAACTGCTCCTCTCTCTGTGGCTGTAAGAACGACGCTGTCTGCTCACCTGTAGATGGGTCTTGTACTTGCAAGCCAGGTAAGTGGGGGAGTGAGGCTTTTATCTGCTCTTCATCCCGTCACCTCCTAAAGTCACAGGGAAGAAACCTAGACTAGGGTTCTAGCTCCATCCGTGCCAAAGTTTGGCGTCCAAACTCGGCCAGCCCCTCATCCAGGGTGGGCTCTCCTGCTTTTGTGAGCCAAGAAAAGCGGCTCACATAGGATCTCCAAAGTTGCTGCCAGCTCCCAAAGTCTGGGAGTCTCTGGGCTTTGGGTAAAGTGAGCAAGCAGACATACACCTACACCCCTCAACTGGCCTGGAGTTGCAGCAAGAAATGCAGCCAAGCACCGATTTTATGCAAAGGCCAACATGTGTCTATCTGTAGTTGTTACAACAGGCAGGGTCCTGGAAACTCACTGTTCAGGGTTCATTGGGTTTGCTTTAAAGAGGGGGTTGCTCTTCCAAACACAAACCTTCCTTTACCCTCCCGTATAAAGATGGTGCTTTCCCGACCAGAGCCGCACTCGGGGTTCTGCATTGCGCATCGCTGCACGCTCGAGGTGCCGCGCTCTGTATCTTGTCCCAGTAGCCCAGTGATGTCTCTTGCTGCTGACATCCTTGTCGATCATACGGCACACACGGATTCTGGGTACTTCGGCCGTTGCTGCTGGAGGCTCCACTCGGCAGCGCCACTGCTGTCTGTGCTGGGACTGGGGACCCCGCCGTGCACCTCCAAAATGTTTCTAAAGGGCAACGTGGCTTGGGGAGTCCGGGGGAAACTCCATGCTGCTTGTTTCCTGCATGCTCTGGCGTTCTTGTCGCGGCAGGCTGGCACGGGGTGGACTGCTCCATCAGCTGCCCCAGCGGCACTTGGGGCTTTAGCTGTAACCTGACCTGCCAGTGTCTCAACGGGGGAGCCTGCAACACCCAGGACGGGACCTGCACGTGCGCACCCGGGTGGCGCGGGGAGAAGTGTGAGCTCCCCTGCCAGGTACGGCTGAGCCGGCGCCCCAGCTGGGAAGCCATGGGGGTGGGTGCTGGGGGCAGAGTGTCCGCTCACTGCTGCCGTGTCCCTGGGGTCAGGCATGCGTGTGTGAACCCAACAAAACTATTAGAAGAACTGAGGTCTTTGAAGTCACATCGGAGATAAGATCAGAAAAGGGATAGACATGGAAATGGGTAGGTAGCTCTGCAAGAATCACTCCCTTCTTCTCCTTCATCTCTGCCCGGGCTCCCCCCCCCCCGCCCCCCCGCCCCCCACCACCCTTCCTGCTGTCTCCGTTCCTACACACCCCTCTCTCCGTGGCAACCGATGGACAGCATTTGTCAAACACCCAGCGTCTGCCTGTCAACTCTCCAAATACTGTATCTCCATTATCATGGAAATCCTCCCATCTCTGGTGGAAAGTGGCAGAGGATTGAAAGAGGGTGGGGACCGGTGTCGCAAAAATGCTCATCGAGGTGGTGAGAGGTTTAGAAACGGCCGTCTGTTAAACACAAGTGTTTCTTGAGTCACAGGAATCTCCAAAGATGTCCCTCGTTCAATGCTGGCTCCACTCCCCTGACCTACTTTGGAGGTAGTCGTGCATACAAATCCCATACCGCGTCCTACTGCAGGCAGAGGTTGCAAATGGGATATGTGTTCTATAGTAACATGCTGATTTCCCTTTCTCCCTCTGAAGCCCTTGGCCCATTTCTTGCCCTCTTTTTCATGACCTTTTCTTCCTCTCTCACTTCTTTCCTCCTGAGCCATTAAGCATTCTCTCAGGGATGTGCGTTCTCTGCCTCCAGGAGAGATGGCAAGATGACACTGTGACCCTCTGACCTGGGCCCCTCGCGGTGGGAGCAGTTTTTCCCCTGGGCTTCCTCCTCATCAAGCACAACCCATTTCCCAACTAGAGAAGATCCCACCCTGGGCTATTCCATGCCCTCCAGACCCGTAGGACAGAGTTCAGTTAGCTTTGCTGCCTCTCATCCACCAGTGAGCAAATTATCAGTCCTCTGCGATGGGCTTGAAGAGCACCTTGCACTCCCAATCAGATGGTAGACAATTCAGTGAAGTCCGATGATGGTTTAAGTGGCTTGTGTGGTGGCAAAGCCCCAGCAAACATTAGTGGGGCGTTAATTTTTTTAAATTTTAGTTAAGTTCTAGTCAAACGATGATGCTGTCAGACACCCTGTTTTATGCTGGTTCTCAGCTTCCTCGCCCTTGGTAACTGCACACCCCCTGAAGGTTTAGAGTGCCCTCCCTCAGTTCGTCAGGACCTGGCATGAAAGGGCAGGGTCACTAAGTGCAGAGCTTTCCATTACCACAGTGTGAATTGATATGAAGGGTCTAGCAAGGCTTCTGTGGCAAACTAAATGATCTCGTCCACAAAGGGGTCTCGTCTCTGCTGGACCAAAACCGATGTGCACGTGAAAATGTTCAGGCCTGGGAACAGACCCGGGAAGGGCGTGTGCCAAAAGTATGCCAGCCTTCCTTGGGATCTCGCATCAGAACGCTCATGTCATTGAGACTTCTTCAGGGAAAGGAAGATACTGACTGGGAAGAGCAGCCGAAGATTTTCACTTCTCCTAAGGATTCTTTGCATCACACTGGCCATTTACAGAAATGAACTTCATTCGATTAGTGCTATGATTTTCTTTTAACTCTAGAGCCTCTTTCTTTATGTGAGTCAAGGGCCTCTCTTTCCATGAACGAGTAGCATGCCTTGTAAGGAATGCTGAACTACTTTATAAAAATCCTTAGGAACAAAAGAAAATTTCTTTTTTTTTTTAAATGTTTTATTTATTTATTCATGAGAGTCAGAGAGAGAGAGAGAGAGAGAGAGAGGCAGAGGCAGAGGGAGAAGCAGGCTCCCCGCCTAGCAGGGAGCCTGATGCAGAACTTGATCCCAGGACCCTGGGATCATGACCCGAGCCGAAGACAGACGCTTAACCATCTGAGCCACCCAGGGCCCCCAAAAGAAAATTTCTTTATGTGCGGTGGTATATGATAAGATACAAAGGATTCTCTTAATTAATGAGCATGTTTGCATATATTTGCATATATGCATATCAGTTGGTCTCTCCGTTCATAGGACCGACCATTATGTCAGACATTTCAACTACAGTCTGAGTGATTTTTAAAACACCCCCTCCTGCATTTGGGGGACTAAGCAGATATGCGAAGAGGGGATTATCATGTGTGTGGCTGAGAGGTGTTTGGGAGGGGAGGGGGTCCTGGATCTGAGGTGGTTGCCTGAGGTCCCTGTCGTCTCTCATTGTGGATTTCCATGACCTCGTCGCTCTCTTCCACACAGGATGGCACGTATGGGCTGAACTGTGCGGAGCGCTGTGACTGTAGCCACGCTGATGGCTGTCACCCCACGACAGGCCACTGCCGCTGCCTCCCGGGATGGTCAGGTGAGCCAGGGACCGCTACTTAAAATGGGAAACATGCCAACTTACACCTAGCCCTGTTCCTTGCTGCTTTAGGGAAACACACACGGGTCACCTTTTCAGAGAAGAAGAAGTGGTAAATCCAATAACAACAGTCACATTTTTACCCAAGAGATACTGCTGCGAGACCTAATTCATCTGGGGATGACTTCTTGTGGAAGCATTCAGGAGCAGTTGTCTTGAGCCTTGACGGAAGGTCCAGCTGTCAGAATTCAGGCCAGTGAGGCGGGGCGGGGGAAGTGTGAATTGATATGAAGGGTCTAGCAAGGCTTCCGTGGCATTTTTGAGCACCGAGGAAAGAATGAGGGAAATAAACCATAAGAACATAACTAAGTTCACCTCGGTGAGGCAAAAATATTCAATATTAATATTAATATGGTTAATATGCAAGTATTAAAGTAGTCATTGCTAGACGTGAAAGTTTTAAAACTTGCTTTTTCTTACAATAATACTTAAGTCATAAAAATTCATAATACGATTGAGTACCAATTTTGTAGCTATAGGGTGGAGGTTTCTCCTTATTTATATGGATTCATGGTTCCAGCTAGGAAGTTTATCAGACTAACAGTGGTCTTGGAAAATGAACCCTGTTTTTGCTCGTGATAAATAGACTTGGGAGAGGGCACTGAATGCCCAAGGCAAATTGGGGTCCTGCTTTTCTGTTTCTTTCATGAAGTCAAGCCTATTCTAAAAAAGCAAAAACAAAACCTTACAAAACGAATGGAATTTTAAATGCTTATTTAGAAAAATTACAAATGGAAATGCACCAAGAAAGTTATTGAACATTGGGATGAGTGGACTGGGTATATTTATGAGCAGTTTCTTCTGAAAGTAAAATAAAAGGTTGACTGCTGATATGCCAATTGAGAGCCAAGTACTGTGGAACTTGGGTGCATGTTAGAGGTGGTTAAATGAACCCAAACTCTCTTTTACAATTCTCATTCATAGTCATTTGTGTATATGTGTGTTTGTGTGTGTATTTGTATATGTTGTATTTGTATCTAAATATATGTGTGTCTATATTCAGAGAAGAGAAGGAGATTTGTAGGACACAACTGTTTTCATACTGATGATGCTTCACTATCTTCCAAAATGGTTTTTTAACTTGTCTTCTAAAAGAGAAACTGGTAGTAATAAGCCAAGCATCCTCTTTAGTGATGGTTCATATTTTGAGAAGGTGGATCTTTTAGAGGAGACTCTTAATACCTCCATGCCAGAGAAGTGACATTTAGGAAATTATGGAGTCAGCGTGGTCTTACCCCTTAGCAAAAATTGTAAAAAGAAGAATGAAGAAATAATAAGTAATGCCTATTGAATGCTTATGGCAGGCTCGCAGCAACTCTGTGAGGTAGAAAATACCATTTTGTCGTTTTTATAGATGAAGAAACTGAGGCACAGACAAGTTGAGTGTCTTGATCAAGGCCCCAGGGTCAGTAAATGTGAGAGACAGGATTTGCACTAATACCCTCCTATTGCGTCTCCAGCTCTCTTCATGACTGCACCCTCTGCCGTACACGGACTTCTTCCAGAACATGCTGGGGGAAAGGGCAGTTGGGCTGAGATTAATTTTGAGCATGGATGAGGACTTCTGAGAATTATATGAGAGGACCGTGGTGATAAGTGCTGATAATCAGCACCTTCTTCATATATGTGCACGTGTGTGTGTATGTGTATGTCTATATGTGTGTGTATACACACCTAGGGAGAGAGAGAGAGAGAGAGTATATATGCATATGTTCATATGTATGCATTTATATAGAGAGAGACAGAGGCAGAGACAGAGACAGGAAGATATACCATAGAATTCACCTATTTAAATTGTATAATCCTGTGGTTTTTAGTATAGTCAAAGAATTATACAACCATCATCACTACCATTTTTAGAAGATTTTCATCATCATAAAGAAACTGCAGTAAGACTTACTATCAGTTATTCTCCATTTACCCCCAACTCACCACTAGGCAAACTCCACCTCCCCACCCTAGGCAACCACTAATCTACTTTCTGTCTCTATAGATTTACCTATTCTGATATTGTATGGATTCATGCAATATGAGGTCTTTGGCTACTGGCTTCCTTCTCTTGGTTTGTTTTCAAGGTTCATTCCTACTGGAGCGTATATCAGTACTTCATTCCTTTTGACTGGTGACAAATATTCCATGGTATGGGTAGACCACATTTTATTTGCACATTCGCCAGTTGATGGACATTTGGGTTGTTTCCACTTTTTGGCTATTTTGAAAAATGCTGTTAAGAACATTCATGTACAGGTTTTTGTGTGAATGTGTATGTTTGGTATATAAGTTAGGGATGGAATTGCTGGGTTGTGTGATAACTCTAAGTTTAACCTTTTAAAGAATTGCTACACTGTTCTCCAAAGCAGTTATACCATTTTCCATTCCCACCAATAATGTGTGAGGTGTCTGTCTCCTCACTAAAAATTTTTATTTTCTGTTTTTTTGGTTCTAGCCATCCAAGTGATGTGAAATGTTATTTCATGAGTTTTTGATTTGCATTCTCCTAATAAATGACGATGTTAAGTGTCTTTTGTATTTAGTTCGGCCATCTGTGTATATTTTTCCAGCCATCTGTATGTCTGATATCTATTCAGATACTTTGCTCATTTTTTAATTGGGTCATTTTGTGTTTTTATAATTGAATTGTAATATTTCTTTATGTATTTTATATCTATGTTCCTTATCAGATGTATGATTTGCAAATATTTTTTCCCATTCTGTTTGTTACTTTTTCACTCTCTTCATGATGTCTGTTTCTGCAGAAAAGTTTTTATTTTGACGGAGTTTAAAAAGTTTTTTTCTTTTGTTGCTTGTGTTTTTGGTGTCAAATCTATGAAACCATTGGCTAGTCCACAGTGACAAAGATTTTTACCTGTGTATTCTTCTAAGCATTTTATAGTTTTAGATTTTACATGTAGGTCTTCAATCCATTTTGAGTTTGGTTTTATATATGGTGTGAGGTAAGGGTCCAAATTCATTCTTTTGCATGCTGATATCCATCTCCATCTGTTCCAGCATCATGTGTTGAAAAGATCATTCATCCCCCTCCCTTCCCATCACCTGTGTTGTCTTGATACCTTTGCCAAAAATCAACTGACCATAAGTGGGAGAGCACTTATGTCTGGACTCTCACTTCTGTTCCACTGATCTATATCCTTATGCCAGTACCATACTGTTTTGATTACTCTAGCTTTGTAGAAAGTTTTGAAATGTGGGAAGTGTGAGTCCTTCAACTTTGGTCTTCTTCTTCAAGATCGTTTGGGCTATCCTGGGTCCCTTGAACTTCTATATGAATTTTAGGGTCAGCATATCAATTCCTGTGAAGAAACAAGGTAGATTTAATAAGGAATGAGTCTATAGATCAATATGGGGAGTACTGCTAACTTGACAATACATGTCTTCATATCCTTGAACAGAAAATGTCATCAGTGACCTCTTTAGCGGTGTCTCTCGGTCCTTTGGAATTTGTTGAGAGCTGCTTTGGCTTCTGACAGGAGTAAACTGAGATGAACTGTCATGTGCTTGATTTCTAGTGTCTGAGAGCTACCTTGGGAAACAGACCAAGGCTGGGGTAATGGACTTTATTTTCTGTCAATAGGAGTTACCCACAGACACAAGGACTCTCTTGCCCTCTAGTTTCTCCTTGACTTGCAAAAGCTAAGATAACTCTGACCTCACAGTGTGAAACTCCACCTCCCCATGTTTCCATGTGGCTCTCAGTTACTAAATGTTAAAACCACATCACGCTAAGAGTAAACTGGATTTTGTGACTTCCCTAGCGTGCTTGGACTCCTTAAATAAAATGACCAGTACCAAGTTCTCCGTGACCACAATGAAGTGAAATAGCATTTTGAACCCCCTGGCAAATTCAGAACTTTTCTAACAGAGAAGCCCTATTGTTTGTTTTGGACCATGCCCCACCAAATCTCCTCTTGTTTTCTGAATACAGAGGAAATGTGAGGTGTTCCTGAACACACCAGTCACTGCTCAAGTATCTACCTGCCTTGGTGATTTAGAGCCAGACTGTGAAAGACATACTCGTATCTACACGAGAAAAGCAGGAGATACGATTTGGCCTGAAGCCAGCCAGAAAATGTGTTTGTTGCATTCCACAGTCTGGGTCATGGGGTAAGACAAATGATCCCATCTGGCCTGAGACCTATGGAGCTCCTGCGGGAATGCACACAGCATAATCTTGTAACACTCTGTCCATCTGTGACTGGTCTGTTTCTCCAAAGGGGAAAAACTCTGCTGCTTCATGCTGCTCTCTACTTATTACCCTACTGTCTCTTTGCTTCGTGGCCCCATTGTCTCGTTTCTCTGGGTCTTCTGTGGAGGCTGTTGACCTTTGAGGATCTAAGACTGCCCTGAGACTTTTTTTTTTTTTTTAGAGAAATCATCCCCCACATTCACAGTACACACTAGGTATATGCAAACGTACATAGAGGAAAAGAAGGTTACGAACGTTCCAAAAAGCACCCTACAATTGGACCAAGAATTGGTTCATTTTCCCAGGAGGAAAGAAGAGTAGATTCTGTGTTATTTATGTAGAGCACCATTTCTTTGTCCACATTGGATAGACTCATAATTTTTCATCAACAAACTTGTTTTTGAGGAAGTACCTTGTGAGAATCTTTCTCAATATAAAGAAAGCCTTGCTTTTCATTTGGATACCAGATGCAGGGCCAGATAAATAGCATGAGTATTGGGGAAGTAAAGGATTCTGTTTCCTCTCCTCCCTGTTGCTGAGAGTGCTCTAGGTGAAATGTTAAGTATCACTGGACGGGGTGATAGTGTGTGGGGTAACGGTGAAGTTTTAGTGTTGTCTAACACAGGGACCTGGGCTCTTCCCTTGACCAAATCAGTAAGAAGGCACAGAGTCACCAACAACACCAACAATCCTAGGTCATGGAGGACAGTGTTGGTGGGGGGGGGCGGGGAGGCTC